TTCTAGTATCATTCAATGATTTTTGTTCAAATGATTTATCTTGTCATTATCCATTGATTTGTTCAAACTTAAGTAAATGTATTTGTCCAAGTTCATCATCATCATTTTGGAATATGAAACAGAATTCATGTTTATCTTGTCCATCAGGATGGATAGAGTGGCAACATGAAAAATGTCTTTTATTTATTGTGCCATCTAAGAATGATTTTACATATGAAAAAGCAAGAAATAGTTGTCTAACATATTCATCTGAACTATTACATATAGATAATGACGAAGATTTTATGAAATTTCAATACAAAATAGATGAACTATTGAGAGATAAACAAGATGATATAGTTTGGAAATTTCTAGGTGATGGTGTTTGGATTAGTAAGATGATAAAATATTTATTTAAAATAAATTGTTGAATGTAGATAGAAAACAGACTAATTTATCTAAATGGTGCAATATGAAATATGAATCTGACGCGTTTCTTTCAAATGATTGTATTCGTATTACAAAAACATCGTCAAACCATAAGAACGATACATCTCTTTGTGTAAATCATGTTCCATGCAATGAAAAATTGTCATATATCTGCGAGAGTAAGTTATTCGCTATGTAATATTTTGTAAATACATTTACCTTGCTTGCACTAGTATTTTACAGAATCAGCACTAATTCGAAATAATGCGAAACATCATAAAAGATTTATTGATATAGTATCCGGTTTCATCGGAAATATATTTTTGCCTGCTGGTAAGTTGTAAAAATATGATATGTATGTATATTCATGTCATTTCGACTTTAGCACCTACAGTACCACAAACTCACGCACCACAAATAATATGTAAAACAAAAGTAATAAAGAAATCGTTTTCAAAGGTTTTCTTCTATTCTAGATCATACAAATGCACCACAGCAATTATTACCACGTATGTTATTACACTATTTCATTGTATTTATTTGGTTAATATTTAATAGAAACTTCTAAGTCAAATAATACGATAATCTACATTGCAAGTAAGTTTTATTACATTGATAAATATAAGACTTTATGTTGAGTATTAGTTGGTGTTGCTGTTATTATTCTCATATCGGTCGTACTTTGTTGTTGCTGTTTTGGTGGTGGCTTTTTTCTTTGGCAGAATGATAAAGCATCAAAAACACCAACAAGACCATCACGTTTCCGACGACAACGTGATCGAGTTAGTGTCGACTCAACTGCTAGCGATGCAACATCTTAATCACATGGAAATTTTAAATTGAATTTTTATGTTTTGATATAAAAAAAAGGAAAACATAGCTTAACTACATCTTTAGTGAGAATAGACTCTTGAAATTAAAAGCAATACCTTAATAATATAAATTTATCGAATCCTGATCACCTGTATGCAATCTGTAATCTTTTGTTAAAAATAAATTTGAATACTATAGTTACTTATAAATTATAGTTTACTAAGTTATATAGTAACAATGAATACATTTTATTCTAAATTAAAAATAAATAATATTCTATGTTGCGTTCTCATTTTGAGTTCGCTTGTGTTCTGTATATTATCTTTATCTTCTCCGTATTATCAGGTCAGTCACTAATCAACATACTTGCCTTATTTCATCTCACAATATTCTAGTATCATTCAATGATTTTTGTTCAAATGATTTATCTTGTCATTATCCATTGATTTGTTCAAACTTAAGTAAATGTATTTGTCCAAGTTCATCATCATTTTGGAATACGAAACAGAATTCATGTTTATCTTGTCCATCAGGATGGATAGAATGGCAACATGGAAAATGTCTTTTATTTATTATGCCATCAAAGAATGATTCTACATATGAAAAAGCAAGAAATAGTTGTTTAACGTATTCATCTGAACTAATACATATAGATAATGATGAAGATTTTAATAAACTTCAATACAAAGTAGATGATATAGACTGGAAATTTCTAAGTGATGGTGTTTGGATTAGTAAGATGATAAAATATTTGTTTAAAATAAATTGTTGAATGTAGGTAGAGAAGAAACCAACTTATTTGAATGGTGTGATGCAGGTTATGAACATAATCATCTCCTATGGAATAGTTGTATTCGTCTTATGAAAAAATATCCGGACAAGAATAATGTCACTTCGTTTTGTTTAAGATATACTCAATGTAATGAAAATTTACCATATATTTGTGAAAGTTAGTTCTTCGTTCGAATGTTGAATTGTCTCTCTAACATAATCATTCATTAGATTAGTATTTTCTAGAATTAGCTGAAACTCTTGAAGTCAATAATACGATAAATAATTTTGCAACTATCGAACGAGCTTGGTCAGCTCTGATTGGACCGATCATTAATTTGGCTGGAACTCTTTTCGGGTCAAGCCGTATGTTATCTATACAGTTTTTTTGTATATAAATATTTTAAACATAATCTATTATGATATTTATTTAGAACAGCCAGCACCAGAACCACAACAGCCCGAAATACGTATGATGTATAACATATTTGAATAGCAAATATTTTACACATTGTATACTACAGAAGTTATATCTGTATCACCAAACCCTCAAGCTCAACGACCATCACGTGCGTACTATTATTTTATTCGATTTATTTTTACTAAATCAGATTTTTATATAGCATCATCAGATAACAATTTCATTTTATATATTGTATGTACGTATTAAAATAAAAACAAAATATTGTCCATATTGATATTCAAGTCACTTTTTCACATTTCAGTAGCTATTTTCATGATTATCATTGTTGTTGTGATTACTCTATTTTGCTTTTGTTGTGGTGGTGGTCTTCTATATCTTGGTACACGTAACAAAGATTCAGCAATAGAAACACGATTAACAAGACATCACCATTCTCGACCTAATCGGACTAGTACGGACACTACTGCATCTGATTTAAGTTATGTTAGCCACTAATAATTAATTGTTAAATACTTATTCATATATAGAAAACAGAATACATTGATAATGTTTCTCCCATGTCGAAAAAAACCAAGCTTCTTTTTCAAACAATCGCGCTTTATCTTCTATATTTTACAATAAATATTTTCATATTCTATGTTTCGCTTTCTGCTTGGGTTTACCTACGTTCTATATACATTACTGAAGTTATCTAATTCTTCTTTAGGTAAAATATAATCATTAAGTTATATACCATATCTCTAATTATTATATTAGTTCTAGCTTCATTTAATGAGTCATGTTCTAATAATTTTTCATGTATCAATCCATTAATATGTTCAAATACAAATAAATGCTTATGTCCAGAATCATCATTATTTTGGAATTATGAAGAAAATGATTGTTTCTATTGTCTACCAGGTTGGATTTTATGGGAAAATAATCATTGTGTTTCATTTGCTGTACCATCTGAAAATGGTCTTTCCTATAATCAAGCAAATGATATTTGTCAGTCATTTTCTGCACAACTTTATCGAATACATAATATAGATGAATTTAAAAGATTTGAATTACAAGTAAATGCATTATTAAATAGTTCATTTTCAAGTGCGGTCACACTATTTTTTCGTCTTGGAGCATGGATAGATAGTTATGATAGTAAATTGATTTTTCTTATTTTGAAGTTAATTTTATTTTCCAAAAAATAGTTAAAGAACTTGAAGATGTTTGGTGTAATGAAAATAAAGATAATTCTACTTTTGATTGCGTAGCTATAAGAAAAGAGAATTCAAAAAATGGTTCATTATGCCTAAGTCGATTAAAATGTCATGAAGAAATGTTATTCATTTGTGATAGTAAGTTTGAAAAAGAAGAAGATTTTTATATTAAAATATTTGTTCAATTTGTTTTTGCAAGTGACAGCTATTTCTGAAAAACATAATTTGAGTTCTCGATTTACAAACCAACGAATTGCACCAATTGTTGGAGCATTAGCACCTATAGCTATTGATTTAGTTGGTAATTTATTGAGTGGAAATAGTATGTATTTAAATTTAATTTTTTGTAATAATCTTTGATGCATTTCTAAAGAACCACCACCGCAACCAACTGGTCCACAACAGATTATCAGTAGGATCTATTAAATTATTAACTATATCTAATATTTTCCTCTTTTTTAAGTTCAACAAGAATCTTTACCACAACCACAAATTGGTGCGCAAGGTAGTTTTTTTTTAATGTAATGCTGTTATACTTGTGACATGTTTTAAACCCTGTAGAATCATCATCAGATAATACATTACTCATCGTTGGATTGATAGTTGGTGGTATTATATTATTTCTAATTATTTGTGGTGCTTTCGTTGCAATAATTATATTTACTGGTTGTATGACACAGTCTTCATCTACTCGACAAGTTAATCATCGATCAAGTGTTGAAAGCGGCTATACTTATGGATAATTTAAATTAATACATGTAGTTTTGCTAATTAGTATATTAAAATAGATTTACTATTTGCTTCTACTGATAATAAAAAAGATTATTATGACAGTGTTGATCAGAAAACTTAAAGAGATATAATAGATATTTAATCTCACAGTAAAATCGATTAATCGGAACAGCGTACAAAGCGCCTAAATGTACTCTAAATATTTCTCATTTTGAAAGATATACTATGTCAATATCTATTTCAGTCCTATTATGATATGGCATATCTGTTTCGTTTCTTTGGCTCATTAATTTGAAATTCAACTCTTTTCTTCACATATAGATCAATGTTATAAAAAGGTAGAATATCGAGTTGCTACATGTTTATTAACCAAGCAAAACTTTAATGTAAAATATGAATGTCATCCTACACATTAATACTATGTACAAAAACGATTAAAAAGAGAAGTAGAAGATCAATCCAAGCAATCATTACGGGTATTTCTAATATTTGTTATTGAAATACCATGTTTCATAGTTGGTATCATAGTGGGTATTGCTAGTACGATCTATGTTTCAGTAAAAAGACAACAACGACGAGAACGACAATGCGAAAGGCATAAAACATGATTCTGTAGTTGAACGTTTCTAAATATATCAGTACAAGGAAAATGACCTTTTGCGGCAAACCAAAGTATTGAAATTTAAATTGAATGTTCTTTTCGAAAATAGTCTTATTTTTTTATGTTTATGGCATATGAAATGAAGTATTCTTTAATGAATTCATCACAAATCTTTTATACATATAAAATTTCCTCTTTAACAGGTAGCAAAATAAAATATCAGCTACGTTTCATTCAACTTCAGCTCATTCGTCAATGAAGCGACAACAAAGTATTTATGATGAAACTAATTACTACAAAAATACAATCAATTTTATTATTAGAAATACCTCATGATATGCGGATCATGTTAGATTGATTCGAAACACTACTAAATCAATCATTAAAGCAAGTAAAAGGTATGAATAGCACAATCTTCTTCTTTATTCTGTAATAATTATTCTTAAAATGAATTACTGCCTCAGAAATCATCTATGTCAAAATTATTATATAAAAATTCCGGAGCGACACATAATAATAGGTTTAGTAATCTTCTGAGAAATAAAGTTTTATTACAACAACAATATAAAACATGAAAAAATGTAAATTATAATATCACGACTACATCTCTGCATGATACGTTCAAAATCTTGTTAAATATTATCTAAAATTAGTGCAAAATATACTGAATTAAGACATTATATAATATAAAATCATTCTTTGTCACTAATTCATAAGTAGCCAATTTAATATTAAATTCTTCTTCAGCAATAGCATATAATTATTAATTTGGATTATTAACTACAATTTACTTGCTCAATATTTGTTACGTCGTATCGATATTTCAATACTGTAACTATTAAAAAGCAAAACAGACAAGACATAAAATTCTGGAAAATAAATCTGAAAGTCAAGAGTTGATAACCATATAGCAATGAAAGAAAGATTGCAATGTAGAGCACATTTTCAATCTCTTAATGGACTAATACAAATACCACAGAATCAAATATGTTGCAGTTTATTGAAAATATTTTCATATTATTAAGATAGATGTAATATCAGGATCATCATAACATAAAATGACAACATCTGGTACAATATTATTCAAGAAAGATATCAATTGATCTTTTAATTATTTATCTGATTCACTAACTATTATCAATTGTTTTTTTAACTGTAAAATATTTATTAAAAGAAAGTGGCATCGAACTTTCGCTTTTCCTTTTCGTTTTGATATATAAAACGCTGAAAATATATGTTTTAGACGATTCTTATCGTTGGAATCATTTAAATAAATATAACCACTGATTTTGTTCGAATGACTGATTTATAGCTGAAAGAACATATGATGATAGATGACGATTGAAACAGATATAAAGAAACAGTAAGTTTTCAATCGAAATGATCTACATAAAGATATATATGTATCGGTTTATGTGTTGATTCAATTTTATAAGTTAGTTATGTCCTTCTGCTTATGTTGAAAAATCTTTATTGACATCTTATTTTTGGTATTAATAAAATTCAAAAAGAAAATCAAAATAAAACGATATATGACTTTTTCCCTTGTTATGTCAAAACTTCTCTATCTGCTTTCGTTTGTATATTTTTTGAACTAAATGTTCTTCAGTTTAAATAATTCTAATATAAAAAAACTCATTACATACAATTATGATTATGATTTACATCTTTAATAAAATTTTCAAAATAAAAAAAGAATATCTGAATTACTAGTTTTCTTTCAATGATTCAGTAGATTTTGATCAGTAATACAAGAAATATCCTATGCATATATAACGCTGAAAACGAAAATGCCATTGTAGACTATATACTGACAAACACATATTTTGCCTGGTCATATATATTTTTTTCTTAATCTCGATATTATCATTTTTATCATAGTATTATGTTCACATCACATTTCGCAATTGAATGAAATTCGAAAGCCATCTAGTTTATTGTTCTAATCATTATGTAAGAGTGACTTTCTTTTCTTTTCATTATCAATAATTATATCTCTGTAACATACTTACATAATTCAATATCATTATGTTATGAATTAAAAGTATTCTTATTTTCAAGTTAACCTTGAAAATGATCTTACATAGAAATATCTATATAAATTATTTTTAAATAACATATATGAATATTTTATTTTTATTTATGTTTACTGCTTCGATCATCTAGTTATGTTGAATAAAGAATTGCTAATCTATACAAAATATGATAATATACATTTTACTGCAATACGTTTCAAATGATCAAATATATATCTCATACTTGTTGGCTATTATAATTTTCCATTCAAAAAATAATCATTTTGAAATGAATAGAAGATGCTTATGATACATATAGAAGTAAAATATATGTTTCAAAGAAAAAAGAATACAGAAATGTTGATTGCATGGAACAATCTGTCATTGCTACGATCATATTTGAAATACATATTGAATATCATACAAATAAAAATATCTCATTAAAAACGAATCGATTGATTTCTTTTAGTTTGCAAATATAATATTTGTGCAGATCTAAATCTTGTAGAAAATCTCTTTAGTCATAGTAAACAATTCTAAGTAAACAAAAGACTTTAATAAATTAAGCTTTAAAATATTTATATAAAAATACAATGCAAAACAAAAAATCAGTTTCCATTAAGTACAGAAAGAACATTAGTAAAAACTATTGAAAAGACATAAGTTACTTAAATAAGTCAAGAAATAAATGAAAAATGTCATATTAACAAGTTTTCGTAAGAATATTTATATTACCATATCCATTATTAGTTGCAATAATATCAGTTAAATTATTATTGTCTATATCACCAACAGCAAGTGCAAATGGATGTGAATTAAAGCCAATAGAGAATATTTGTTGATTCATAAAACTTCCATTACCATAACCAAAATATACGCCGATATGACTAGTCCTATAACTAGCAACAGCAATATCTAATTGAGTATCGTTATTAAAATCGAGAATAACAACTGAAGATGGCTGAGAACGAACACCAGTAGAATAAGTTATTTGATTTGAAAACGTACCAGTACCATTGCTAAGAAAAATACTAATGGTATGAGTACCAGCATTTGCAACGACAAAATCTAATCGATTATCATTATTTAAATCAGCAACACAAACTGAACATGGTTGAGAACTATTGCCAGTTGAATATGTTATATCATAGAGAAAAGTACCATAGCCTGATCCAAATATAACTTTGACATTGTTTGTAGCATTATTGGTGATGACAACATCTAATCGAGTGTCATTGTTAAAATCACCAACAGCTATGGAAGTGACTTGAGAAGAATATCCAGTGGAATAAGCTGGTGCATTTACAAAATCTTCACTAACATATCCAAAAAATATGCCTGTATTATCCGTACCAGAATTAGCGACGACAATATCGAGACGTCTGTCCTTATTAAAATCACCAACAGCGAGAAAATACGGCTGAGAATTCTCACCAGTTGAGTAGGTCAGTGGATCAAAAAAGGTACCATTAATACATTGAAGAAGAACACCTAAAGAATTGGTACCATAACTGACAAAGGCGATATCCAGTTGATTGTCATTATTAAAATCTTCAATGACTAATGCATTCGGAGTAGAACCGATACCAGTTGAAAAAGTGATTTGATCATGGAAACTATGATTCTTATTTCCAAAAAACACACCAATATTGTCAGCACCGGAATTGGCAACGACAATATCTAATATAGCATCGTTATTCAAATCACTGACGACGATCCATGCTGGTTGTGAATTACTGCCAGTTGTATAACTAGTCAGATTCGAAAAAGTACCATCACCCTTCCCATAAAAAATACTTATACTGATAAGATAAAAATTGGACACGACAATATCTAATCGATTATCGTTGTTAAAATCACTAGTAGCGATTGATGATGTATCAGCATTACTGCCAATTGGATAGATGACTATAGGAGAAAAAGTAGCGTTGTCGTGTCCTAACAAAATACCCATTTCACCAGTGAATGTAAGAGCGACGGCAATATCTAATCGATTATCATTGTTAAAATCTGCAACGATGGCTGTGCATGGACCGGAATTATAACCAGTGTTGAAAGTCGTCTGATTTGTGAATACACCATTCCCATATCCAAGAAAAATACCTATATTGCTAGTCCCCAGATTGGCGACAACCATATCCAAATAACTGTCATTGTTCAAATCAACAATAGTAATCGCAAATGGCAACGAGTTACTCCCAGTCGAATATATTGCTTGATTGGAAAAGATACCATTACCCAGTCCCAGAAAAACACCCACATTGTCTGAATTGCATGACACAAAATCTAACCACCCATCGTTGTTTAAATCAGCAACAGCTACTGCGTGTGGAGCTGAACCTGTGCCTGTTGAAAATGTTATTTGCTTTCGAAAACTTCCAGTATCATATCTAATAAGTGTTAATACCCTATCAGTGCCAGAATCAATAACAGCAATATCAAGTTTCTGATCACTGTTGAAATCACCAGTAGTTACTGCCTGTGGATTAGAACCAACTCCAGTTGAATACATATTTAAATTTGTGAAACTACCATTTCCATATCCCAGAAGAATGCCTACATTTTCAGTTGCGGAATTAGCTACAATAATATCTAATTCATTATCATTATTTAAATGATCAATGGCAACTGAAGTTGGAAAAGATAAGTCACCAGTGGAAAATACTGTCTGTAATGGAAATGTTCCATTTGTATGTCCTAAAAGTACTCCTACATTACTTAAAACATAATTTGCTATGACGATATCTAATTGACCATCATGATTGAAATCACCAAGAGCTAAACCATGTGGATGTGGAGAAGATCCAGTTGAATATGTATCTTCAAGTATACCATTCATATAAGAAGATCCGAGAAAAACACCTATCATATTCGTGCCATTATCGGTAACGACAATATCAAGAATGTTATCATTATTAATGTCACTCAGAACGACCCAAGTTGGACAGGAATTGTCACCAGTTGAATAAGTTCTTTGAACAGGAAACGCTCCACCACCTTCTCCAATAAACACAACAACATTGTCAGTGAGACAATTAGCTACGACGATGTCTAATTGATTGTCATTGTTTAAGTCACCAACAGTAATTGAGAATGGTTCAGAACCACTACCAGTAGAATATGAATTTCCTTTGACAAATGTTCCATTACCGTATCCAAAGAAAATAAGAATATTTTCACCGAAAATCATAGTAATGATTATATCTTGGTGATCATCATTATTCACATCACCGATAGCAATATCAGATGGACAAGTGGCAAATGGAAGCAAATAGGTGACTTGATCTGCAAAAGTACCATTGCCATATCCAAGAAATATACCCACATTGGAATTCCAATAATTAACGACTGCTATATCTAATCGACTGTCATTATTAAAATCACCAATAGCAAGAGATTGGGGGTTAGATAGGTCTCCAGTTGGATAGGTCTGTTGACTGGAAAAAGTCCTGTTACCATACCCCAGAAATATACCTATGTTGAAACCCCAATAGTTGGCAACGGCAATGTCTAATTGTCCATCATTGTTAAAGTCACCAGCAGCAACATCGTATGGTGTAGAACCGTCCCCAGTCGAATAGGTCGTTTGACTTGAGAAAGTGCCATTAATATAACCAAGAAATATACCAATATTGTTTGTTCCAGAATTGGCAACGACAATATCTAGTTGTTTATCATTGTTAAAATCACCAATAGTAACTGCATGTGGTTGAGAATTGTCTCCAGTTGAATAAGTTATTTGAGTTAAGAAAGTACCAGTACCATAACCAAAAAATATACCAATATTGTTTGTTCCAAAATTGGCAACGACAATATCTAGTTGTTTATCATTATTAAAGTCAGCAACGGCGACCGAAACTGGACCACTTGGAATGCCTGTTGAATAGGTATTTTGACTTAAGAAAGTATAATTTCGATATGTCAGCACAATATCAACATAGTTGTAATCGTAATTAACGACAGCAATATCCAATCGATTGTCACCATTGAAATCACCAGCAGCAGTGGCATATGGATTAAAATTGTAAGTGACAGTGAAGAATATCATTTGATCTGTAAAATATCCATTTCCATATCCAAAAAATATACCTACACTTTCACCCTGATAGTTTGCTACAGCAATATCAAGTTGAGTATCATCATCAAAATCACCAATTACTAGCGATAATGGAAATGAATTATTATTAGTTGAATATTTGTATGGTATTGTGAAACTTCCATTTCCAAAGCCTAAGAGAACATCAATTGTATTTAAACCAGAACAAGCAACTACAATATCCATATAAGTATCATTATTTAAATCATTAACAGCAACTGAATACGGTTGAGATTTAAATCCAGTACTAATTATGACTTGCGCTTCAAATATACCATTTCCATGTCCTAAAAATAAACCTATGTTGTCAGTACCATGATTTGCAACAATAATATCAAGTTTATCATCATTGTTAAGATCAGAAACAACAAGTGAATATGGAACAGAATCATAGCCAGTTGAAAATGTTTTTGGTGTTGCAAAATTTCCAAGACCATCTCCAAAAAGAATGCCTATATCATTAGTACCATAATTTGCAACGACTATATCGAGTTGTTGGTCATTGTTGATATCACCAACAGCAATCCATAGTGGACGAGATGAGCCAGTAGAGAAAGTGATTTGTGACATGAAAGTACCATTACCTTTTGCAAGAAAAATACCAATATTATTGGCACCATAATTAGCTACAGCTATATCTATTTGTTGATCATGATTGAAATCACCAACACAGACAGCATATGGAAGTGAATTAGAACCAGTTGAATATGTGATTTGATCTCTAAATGTAGTATTGTCCTGTCGAAGAAATATTCCCAGACTACTTGTGCCAGAATTAGGAACAATAATATCAGGTAGATTATCATTATTAACATCAGCAACGGCAATCGAATGTGGATGAGAATCACTGATTATCGAATTGTGAGCTTCTGATTTTAATATATATGCACACGTTTTGCCTAAATAATGAAATAAAATATAATAAACTTTGTTGATTTGAATTATATTGAAATAATATTAATAACAGAATTCTAAAACTATTTTATTTCTATGATGAAAGTTCTTTTCTGTGACAAGAATATAAGTGAAAATGATTGAATGAGTATGAGAGATGTATATCATACCTAATGGTTTTGGTGATGAAAAATAAACTGTAAGAATGCTAATCATCATCGATATAATTGTAAACAGAACAAACATGAAGACTATTGTTTTGAAATTCGGCTGATACAGATGATGTCTTAGTCTAATGGAAATAAATGTTAATTAGAAATGAAAATGAAATAAACATAACAAACATGATGAACAATATCTTGAAATTCGACTTAAGCGAACGATGCTTTGGTCTAATGATGATAATTTTCAGTTATACATGAAAATGAAATAGATCAAACATACTTCTTTGATGGAGTCCTAACAGTTTTAGGAAGAACATTGGCAATCTGAATATCCATAGAAGTTATTTTAATCTATAATAAAAGTATAATATCATGAAGATTTGTCGTTTAAATCAAATCAAACTGATACAATTTATTCTATACTTTTCTTATTTTAGAATTATACAACAAATTCTTTAATTAATCATCTCTATCTTCTAGTTATTTTACTAATATTTACAATTTATTTCCATAAGTTTTCGTATTCTCTCTTTAAATTTGTTGACGTAAAGAAAACTTTATAAAACTAAAATTTTTGTTATTAATATAAACATTAGTTATTATTTAGTATTTGCTTTATTATTTCGATGTTTATGTATAATATATCATACAGACATACAGTACTAAACAATCATAAAATTATATTGTAATCACAAAATTGAATATGAAAACTAACTAATATAATAAAATATGTTTTGTTTATAAAAAAAATATTTCTATATAGAAAAACTCAAAAAGTTTCATATTGATCGAAGAATAAAATAATTTTTTTTAAATTTCATCAACTAAAGTAATCAATTTTTCTCACAATAAATCTCTCTGATATTTATTATTTAAGAACATTTTCTAGATATAAATACCTTTTGTATAATCTTTTTACGACTCACTTGAATGACGTTGAAAGTAAAAATGTTGAGGATAAAAGTATCGAAGCATAAACGCGACCAAAAAAACACTGTTATCTACCTCCATCCTTATTTCGAAATCTTCCAATTCGGCATGTTTACCTTTGATATTTTTATTTCAGCCGAATTCAGACGAATCTTTTTTACTTGAAGAAATCAAAAATTTAAATAAAAAAATAAAAATTATTTTACTATAAAATGTTTCTTATTAATTAATAATAAATCTTTTGAAATCTATTTGCGTCAAAGTAACAATACTTATTATATAACTCTAGAAAGACACATAATTCTTATAGTTTTAAAAAAAGAAAATTTATATCGAAAGGGATTTTAACTAAGTATTACCTATTAAATATTGTATTCAAATAAAAATACATTAATCTTTAGTTGAAATGATATTTAAACAAGCTGAATACAATTGATATTTTGTTATTGCAAAAATAAATGAAATATTTGTATAGATTTTTTATTTTGAGGACATTTTGTATTTTATACAATCTAAATGGATATAAATCATTTTTTATTTAGTTTGACATTTTGTTGCTTCTCTGTATATTATGACAGTTTCGATGATATCTAATAGAAATAATTTATATTTTTTCTTATTCTATCTTAAAATGAGTTAAGTAAACAAAATATACATGTGATTAATGAAAGACGAAAAAAAGATTTAATTATATGATAGGAACTAATATTTTTTTATACAATCAGATATTATAAAGTAGACTACGAAAAATTTGATTACTTAAAATGATATTTATTCATTAAAATATTATAAATGATATTTATCAGTTTGCTATTATACAATCGAAATTATATAAAAGAAACTTTCTTATTTTTTTTCGCATAGAAACATAATAAACTAATCTATCTTTTATATGTTTTATATAAAATAATAACAAAAACTATTCATTTATTTTTTATTATTACATTTCCTCAATATTTATCAAATAAAAAATCTTGATAAAATATGAAATTTGATGATTAATATTTTAATAGTTTTATTTATTATTTAAAACTATACTTTTTATTTACTTTATTATTGGATATATATATATGTATTTGAATTCAAAAATCAACTGAATATTTTTAGACATGACATTAATTGAGTTGAAATTATCATTAATAAGAATTATCTCGAACTGATAATAAATATTTATAATATTTAAATAAGTATTTTATTTCAATACAAACGAAATATTATTAATAATGAAAAGAATATTTAATCTTATAAAATTATTTCTCTATGTTGACTTTTCATATTATTAATAGAACTTAATCGAGGTGATTCATGTAAAAATTAAATTTTGTCTCTTTCTATTTAATTTGATTAAGATATTTAATTCAGTTGAATGTTTAACAGTGAATACTAATATTCATATTTACTTGTACCTTCAGTTTCATACTGAAATGTAAATTAATTGAATTGTTATGTTTATATATAGATTTGATATTTTTTTTGAAATATATATTTTTATTATCGTTAAAATATAGAAAAGAAAAACAAATTAATATTTGATTTTTCATATTAATTTTAATTTTCAGAGAAAGGAAGATGTAAAATTTTATTGATTTCTCGAAAGAGATTTTTTTCTGATATTGTCATTTGGAAGTTATATATACATTTTGTAATTTATATAAAGATAATCTCATATATTTACAATTATAAATTAATTAGAAAGAACAATGTTACTAAGAATTATTACTGCAAAAGTGATTGTTTTCAAATACAGTACGTATCAAGAGACTTATCTCCATTTTTTATTTGAATTGGTTTCTTTTTCAAAAGATGTTTCATGGTAGGTTCCACAAAATTTGTATAAAAAAATTCCTATCAAGAAATAAAAACAGTTTCTAAATATTCTATTATAACAATCTGTCGAGAAGTTTTTTGGACAAAATGTTTGCCCATATTTGACTCTCTTAAAAGTGTTCTAGATGAATGAAAAGCTGGAAATAATAATTAGAATTCTCCACTAATTATATTCTCACTAAACATTAGAAATATTCTTATCACTTCGTATAACTTCTAACAACATAACAGTTATTCTTTAGTTAGAAAGGATTTTTATATCATAGAACGCATTTTTATTTGGCTGAATTTATAAATTATGTATTTCTTTTATTAATGAAATTACACTGAACATGAGTTTCAGAAATGTCCTATCAAGGATTGTTCAATGAGAAAATAAAGCAGCAGACGATGCATTCATATTTTTAGTATTAAAAACAGAAGAACTACTGTACCAATACAAGTATGAATATGATATTTACTATTGATGATATAATGAATCGTATCAGAATGACCAATTTTTTGTTAATTTTAAATTTAGAAAATATTTATATGTAACTTTAAAAGCTTTGTACTGTTAATAAATATGAGATGTTCATCGCATTAAAATATTTCTAAATCGAGTTTACTAGAAAATAATGAGATTCAAAAAAAGAATAATACGTTGCAAAAATCTATAAACTTTAAAATCATAATATTATTTGTTGGAGAAAGTTATTTCTATTCATAATATATTTTAAGATGTTTTATTTATGCGAATGAAATTTCAATAGATAATAACAAATAGGACGATATAGTGATGTTACATTATTCAAATTCATCAAATGTCTGTTTCGAATAACCACTTCGCTTATTTTTTTGTTGTTTTTGATCGTTTATATCGATATTCATATTGTCAGGACTAGCATCATATTTCGAAATAAAATCAGCTTGACTTGTACTAGAATAATGCGAAGCAAGTTCATCTTCATCATTAATATTATTAGTACTTGCACCACTGATAATCGATGAACGTGGATTACTTGAAAGTTCATCTTTTTTAATGTCTCTATCAACACGAGACTGTGTTTCGGTTGTTGCACGATGTTTTTTATAAAAGAAGATACCAGCAATAATAGATGCTATTAATAATAAAACAATAACTAAGATAATGATAATCATTTTTGTATTGTCTTCAAATGAAAATAAAATATTATTTGAAATTTAATATAACATATTTACTATCTGATTTTGGTGCATCTGGTTTAGCTAACATTCCCAAATTATGTTCCTCACCAATAGTTGGATCTTTGCTTGTATTATAATTACTATCATTACCTGCATATGGACTCGTAGTGGATTTTGAATAACTAGTTGTCGTAGATTTTGAACTGCTGTTCGTAGTAGATTTTGAATTACTATTCGATGTGGATTTTGAATTACCACTCGGTGTGGATTTTGAATTACTATTCAGTGTGCTATGTAGACTTCCCACATTTGTAGCTATATTCAAAACAATCCAAAAATAATAAATAATTAAAAATGAAATATACATACATAATGATGCAGGGTATTTCAGAGCTGTTGATTCAGCTAAATATTAAATAATAAAATTTGAGTTTTTTTTTCTTGGGAATTATATCTATATTCAACAGATGTTACATACATCTTTCGCAAATAAATGGATATTGTTCATGACAAAATACGTCATCGAGACATACTATTGGATGTGAAGGTATTCCTCGTCGAAGTATAACACATTTTTCTGAATCATTACTAGTAGTCAATCGTGATGGTTCGTTGTGCGTATGAGCATAACCCAAATTTGTCTTTGTATTACACCACGCAGCATGTTTACCATCAAATTGATTTATTCTCCTATCTTCCCATTGATATAGATCCACTAAAGAAATCCAAAATGTTTCATAATAATATCTCTTCTGTCCAATATATATAATTGATAGAAACATAATAGGAAATTTGACTTACAATTATTCGAAGTAGCTTGTGCACTAGTCCAAGCTACAGTTTTATTTGTCGTTGTCATTTGTCTTCTTCTACGTCCAGTTTTACTCTCAGTTACTTGATATATAAGTGCAAGTATACTATTATCACGATAGCTAAATAAATCTGCTTGCATATTTTGACATACTGTTGCCGCTTTTATTCGATTCAATGGATTAATGTAAAGTCGAATACATGCTATTTCTATTTTCTAAGTAAAAACATACATAAACGTTTTTAACAATTTAATATTCTAACCAGAAAAAGACCAATCATATGGACATGATAAACAACGAACACCTGTCCAAAAAAGACGATTTTGCCCATTACATTTAC